GGTTCCCACCCTCCTGTGTGCATCAGAAACATGAGTCATGAACAACAGACACCACAAATCCCTGAAGAAGTATCACCAGTGCTACCTTGATAAAATCCTGCAAATCCCACATCATTGTGATGTGCTTTGCCCTTAATTGTCTGCGATTCTGCCATTAATCTGGCTAATCAAGCAGCTCGTGCTTTGTGCAAACAACATATGGACCTTCTTATGTTTGCAGTCCTTGACATTCTGTTTGCTGATCAAATGTCTCTTTATCCATATGATTGCATGCATGATATCTGTGTGATGCCACTTTAATGTACCTGCCCATTTCTTATCTGACATGACTGTTATGGAAAAAGCAGCAGGGAGATGGAGCAATAACATCACATGGCAGTGTCACGTAGCTCTTAAGGCAATTGTAAGGATGAGACATTTGAATCATGAAATGTAGTCCCATGTGAGAGCAAATGGGTTAACACAAACCCTAGGAAGTTCTTTTTGACACACTCCATCATCAATGTTTCAGAGTGCACTTAAACCTAGATTACCTTGAAATGTTGAACATCCTCTATGACAGTATTTACCCTGTGAGAGGCAATGTTTTGTGGATCTTTGCACTGAGGGACACCTGAACTGCCCATTGAACATCTCCCATCCTCATGTCAGTGCATCACTTGATAGGCTGATACTTAAAATGTACATTTCCCATGAGAGATTTGTAGAAGCATCAATGATTCAGTACACTCATTCACAAGATGGGTGTTAGTGTGGAATGATGTGTGCAAGCCAGGCCCGAGCAGAAACTCTGCACATTGCTTTTAGCCTCCGTGTTATCCACATTAAGATGCAATGCCTTGGCTGAAGTCATCAATATCATGGTTCAAGGATCCTTAATGTCTGAGGCTACTTATATTTAATTAGTTGGTTGCTTTGGGAGATGAACAATGCCTGGCCAATACAACTTCTTTCATCCTCAGAATGTGTGAAGAGGCTGCTGATCTCTCGCTCGGGTGTGTCTTAACCAGGTGCAACAACAAAACTGATACTACAGCAGACATTATGGTAGTACAAGAGAAAATATATAAATGTAAAATCCGATTTACAATGCTGTCCCACCCATGCACTTATGTACTCTGAATGTTTTGTTCTTTCTCTTTCTCAATACATCCAGGTGCAGTCATAACTTTGGGAGCCTGCTTTGTGATTGGCCTTGTTGATTTGGAAGACTCGAGTGATCATTCTGTGGTGTCATTGGGTTAGACCTGGAGAGAGTCTCCTGCCCAGATGTAGGCTCAGCCTCTGCAGGTTGTACTGCTTTAGGATCACAGGCAGAAGCAGGAGCCCAGGCTTCTCTGGAACATGCGCAGAAGCTTCGAGGTTGTGGGTGTCTCATACCTTGACATGGGAGTGCAGTTTCACCTCCTCAGCAATTAGGTTTGAACATCACAGTGTTAGGGCTGGTCTCTGGCTTGTTGCATCTCAAGTGGTAGGTAACTGTGTTTTAAACATAGGTTTAGAAGCTGGAAGACTCCTGTAGAGGCAAGGACTTCTCACTTGCTTGCCACAAGATACCCTGACAAAAGCACCCAATATCTCAGTCACATAATGAAAGAGGTATAACTTAGAAGATTGAATGGGTAAAGCTGTGGTGGAGTGGATTACGTGGAACACAGCAACTGCAAATGGAAAACTCTAGCCCACACTGACATTTCTTCAGGACTGAATGGAGATAGAAATGTAATAAACTGTAACAAATGAGGGGGAGGAGTGAGAACAAAGGAGTGATCTGTGGATGGAGTGGAGGGCATGAGACAGTTACTGATGAACAGACTTCCATGGTACTTCAGAAAGATGATTTATGCAGTTGGCGGTTTTATGTTACAATGAAAGACTTTGAAAAGGGCAGGATGAACAGAGATGCTCCTACAGAACATTGGGCCAAATGGCATCTTTCTGTGCTGTAAAAACTCTACAATCTACATTTTCCAATCAACATTTACACGTAAATAGAATCATTTCTAAGAAGTACGTTGTGAAAGAATTAACATAACAAGAGGAAAAGAGGAGGGATGGGGTCGCAGGAAGAAAATAAGCATTGACAGCGATGGGGAAGATCATTCACTATACTTTAGAAGATAACTTGTGAAGCAGTCACTGTTGGAATGTAGGAACAGAGCAAGGTTGCACAGAGCATTGTGATAATAATCAAATAATCTATTTCATGTATGTTGGAGGAAATAAACATTAACAAGGATAATGAGAACTTCTTTGAATGTGCTATGGAACATTTTATGCCAGGGGATGTAAGAACTCAAGACAGTGAAGCATTCTTTCACTGGAATGTCAACATCTCAAGACTCAATGATTTTTGAACCCATAAAATGTCTGACTCAAGACTTGCATCCATGTATCTCTTCTCCCCGTACCCCTCCACAAAAAAAAAGCCTTTATAATTTTCTTAAACATTAACTTTATTCATTGTGTTACTCAGGGTAAATGCAACTCCAATTATCTTTTACAGCAATGTGAATAATCTTTACTTGACAAGTGTGAAAGTGCTAGAGTCAAAGCAAATAAAAGGAAAAAAAATTCTTACCATTAATTCACTTGAGTTTGAAAAATCCTTGCTTTCAAACTGAATAGAATCAGAAGAGAGGAAATCCATTTTGAAGCTGCAGTTGATTTATTTCCGATGGACAGTTTTTTGCATTTTGGTTTCTAGCATACAAATACTGTTGGATAGGCCTATCAATTATGAAGACGGATGGCCAAATGACTAACTAAGATGAAATTACAGCACAAAAACAGGCCATTCAACTCAACCAGTCTATGCTGGCATATTAAATTCCACTAATCCTTCCTCACCTTACTGTTAGCATGACCCGCTTTCCTTCGTCCTTATGTGCTCATCTTAGTTCTCCACTCAATTACATGTAAATAATTTGTTTCAGCCACTTGCTGTGGTGGCAAGTTTCAGTTTCAGCACTGGGTAAAAGAAAATCCAAATTCTTGGTTTGATTTGTGGGTGACTATTCTACATCAATGGCCTCCAATTATGCTCTTCCACCTCGCATTCCCAATTACTGGAAAATGTTGACATTATTAAAGCTTTTGTTAGGGTGAATATGAAAACATCTATTTGCCTCAGCCATTGCGAAAGAGTTCCATTCAAAGTTTCTTTACGTTTCTAGTATTATCAATGTAAACCCTTTCGTGCATCCCTTTCACAACAAATTTTTTATGAAGAAAAATTAGCATTTGATTAAAGTAATATTTTGTACATTTTAAAAAGGAATGATCTGAGTAACTTGTCTTACTACTTTGTGGTTTGCAACGTACTCGTACTGTTTGTACCTTTTGCTACTGTTTACATAATATAGTTTATTTTCCAAGTAATGTGATCTTCACACTTGTCAAGTAAAGATTAATCACATTGCTGTAAAAGATAATGTAATTGGAGTTGCATTTACCCTGAGTAACACAATGAATAAAGTTAATGTTTAAGAAAATTATAAAAGGCTTTTTTTTGTGGAGGGGCACGGGGAGAAGAGATACATGGATGCACGTCTTGAATTTGGCTGTTTATTACATATCTTGTGATAAAACACACAAGATGAAACACCATTTAAAAAAAAGTGGAGGCACATAAAGACCACTGTTTCTGTATGTTTGATTGTGGACTAAATGGGAAAATTATGGTTTTAAAACTAAAGATCATGAAACTTATTGCTGCATCTTTTAAAAGGATGTTACTAAAATTCATTGTAAGTGGTGTTGGCAATGATGCTTTGTTCAAGTAGCGGAGTAGAAGATGGGCAGCACCAGGGATGTCGAGCGTTTCAATGGGCAACGTGTAACTGATTGGTTAGTGCAGTTGTGATCAGTTGTGGATGACAGAGACCATCTACTTGCCAATAACTATGTGACTGTCTTATCAGTAGCTGAACAGCTTGTGGGTGTGAACAATATTGCCCAGAAGCCTTTGGACCTCTGGAAGAAAGGTGGTTTGTCTCCCTCTTTCTCTACAGTGAAAACAAAAAACCTAAAGCCTGAAGAAAGCAAGTTTATTTACCTTCACCAGTTGCTGTAAGCTGTAGCTTTTAACCAGTAGCTGAAAGACTTTGCAGTTAATGTGCCAATTGCCTCTGCCTTCTGCAAAGTGAAAATCAACCTGTAATTCCCTTCCCAAGGGCACTGTGGATCAACCTGCAACAAGTGGACAGCAGTGGTTCAAGATTTCAACTCATCACCACCTTCTCAAAGACAACTACAGACAGGCCATCAATGCTGGCCAGCCAATAACACATATGTCCCACGAGTGAATAAACCTTAATTGAAGGATAGCAGTTCTGGCAAGCAAATGGATCATCTCTAAGTACCTTGTGGATTGGAACCATTCAACTGCTTTTCCAGCTTCTTTTCCCCATCATCCGTAACAGTAAAAAGAAGTTGTATACGTAAAGGGAAATTTTAAGCGAGTTAAAGTTTTAACTAGTAGAGATACATGCGGAAGTTTACAGTTCTTTATCTGCAGTCAGAATCTCTATTTGTATAAATACTTGTTTTTGCTAAGTACAGAAGTCTGGTCTGTGTTTTGTGTTAATCTGGGTTTAAAAAGGTCAATTGGAGAAACAAAAGAAAAAAGAAAATCGATAAAATCTTTAACTTTTATGATGACTTTGGGAATAACAAGGCTTGATTTTCAGCACTCTACCCCAGACAGATGACATTTGAAGCAGTACTCCGAGGTATTTATTGTCACCTGCAAACTTAAAACTGCTGGTTTTGATTCAAAAGTCCCTAAGCTATAATCTTTACCCATGGACATCTAGTTGCCAGAATGATCATTGTTACAAAATGAATTGAGTGCAAGATTTAATTTTGAGCCCACACGCCTTGCATTTCATTGTTGAGGAATGACAGATATATATAACATAGAACAGCACAAATTTAAATGTACAAACATTTCATTTGTATTGACAACTCAGTTGGAAAAACAGGACAATAAACTCCAATGGTGATAGAATGACCGCAGGTTTTATTTTATAGCAAAGTGAAACATCCTTTCAGTATACAGTAGCTGTACTATATGCATCCAGTTCTATATCAACTGCTTCAAAACTCTCAAAATGGTGTTGTTATAAGTAATTTGTCACAATCAACAAAAATTGATACATCTATTCACAAGCCATAAAAACAGACTGAATATTTGTAGATACTCTGTTGGCTGTTATTGCTTGAAAAAGCTGCATCTTTGGATCCTTCTTACAGAATCCATGGATATGCCTGAGTCAAACTGCACTGTCACACACACTGCCATAAAATGCTGGAAACATGGTAGAAAAAGTAACACTACAAAGAATTAGAGACTGCTAGAAAACATCTTTCACAGCAAAATATATTTTCTTTCAGTAACTGTTTTTTGCTAGACCAGAGAATTAGCTGTCATATTATGCATTGTAATTATTCCAAAACTGTAACAAGTTTGGAATATTTTTCATGAATATTCATTATATACAATGCAAAAGTTCTTGCTAACCTGTGACAATACTGCAGATAATGCCCATGTATAACTCTCAGCTGGTCATTTGAAAAGTTTGGACTAGTATAAAGATGTTTCATTTAGGTCACCTCTTCAAGTGAAATGTGTGTAAGGATTGTATGTAAGTCTGAGTTCCAATATTTTAAAACTCAAAAATAACACTTTAATTTTATCCAATATAACACTACTACTGAAATGAAGGGCCTACAAAACCTGCCTTGGGATTGCTGCAAGACTGAGTGACTCAAAGACAATATTAAACAAAATTTCTAAATTGTCAGCCATGATTTCAGATAGAATATTCATTTTTGGACACTTTTCAAAATGTGCAGGATCACTATTCCAAGATGGTGTGCACTCCTGAAATATTGCAGCACAATCTCACAAAGCATAGAAAGGTCCTTTTATGGTGGGCGGGGAGAGGAGGAAACAAAACCAGTAAAAAGCTTAAATATTTCAAAAGGAGTAATTTGAATTTCCAACTTTGGAAAAACCCCAAAATGTAGTGCGACTATTACATTTACAGACAAACATATTCATCCAAAAGGCATTTTCCCACTAATAAGAAAATTGTTAGTCAATATGTATCATACAATACATTGCACATTTCAGGTTTTCAGTGGCAAAACTTCTAATTTTTTTTTATTGCTAACTCATTTTTTTTTAACAAATAGTTAATTATTATGCTAGAAACACTGAACTGAATAGAAAATAAAGACAAAGACAATCCGGTCATAAACATGCTAATTAAAAAGTCCTCATGCATGAACGTCGTTTCAATAACACCACCTTAGACTTTACTCAAGTTGTGATCAAATATTTTTTGTAAATAAACCTAGAACAAGGAATACATTACAAATTCACACAGCTAACTGTAGTAGGCTACAAATACTGGGCTTTAATGAATTATACCCCTCAAATATTAGAATGTGAAATCAGTAGCTGATATCATTACCTGAAGGTTCGTATCCTATTGCAGCAACAGTTATTGTCAATCACTCTTCAATAAAATACAATTAGGCCTTAAAATTCTGCAACTGTGTGTTGTTTCCGAACTCTGCATTGAGCTGGTCACTTTTTGCATATTATATATGGTGCGAAATATTTATTGTAGAGTGCATGATAGCTATCTCAAGAGCTCATTTGTATATCCCTTAATCTCACAACTGACATTCATGTTGGTATCACAAAATCATTGATGTTTTCCCTATTGCTAAAAGTCAAAATAGTTAGACATTCAAGGTTTCAGTAGTCTTAGAGCCTAGATAATATTCAGTGCACTCTTCTGCTTGGTCTGTGTCATTCAAGTGCCCATTTGTTGTGCTACCCTCATTGCCTCTTACACATTGAAAACACAAAGTTTATAGAACAAACCAATCAATGTTCATAATGAATTATGTGTAATTTCACACAAGACTGATAATGGCCATATTATGGATTACATAGGCACAAAAAAGTGGAACAACAGATGTGTTTTGTATGGAATCCATTTTTGGATCCTAATCATTTAATTAAAATGGGCAGCAGTTATAATTCTTCAGTCTACACTATGGGTAGAATGGTCTCTCTGTGCCATAACTTTTCTTTGGTTCTATTTAAAATACAAAAGCCCCACTCCTTCTAACTGGACTTTGATAGTGCAAAGAAATGGACTTATAAATTTTTTCAGTTTTACTGGGGCAAAAAACTGATCTATTAAATTTTTCTCAAGTTTTCAAGCACTAAATCAGAGTGACTGAGTCGTGGAAGCAGCAGTTTCTCAACCTACTCTGCTCAGCACTGTGTAAATGTGGTCATCTGATTTCTTGAAAACATACTCGCCAAAGGGAGTCAGGTATCTTGTTTCACGGATAACAAACCTAAATTTAGTCAGAAAATAGACAGTTCTGGGCAATTTATCATCTGAATTCTCTGGAGTTTTAACTATGCAGTGTGGTAGAAAGTAATTTGAGATGAACAGAGAGAAGTTTCCAGCATTTTATTACCAGTTGTATGAGCACATAAAATGTCAAAACTACAAAACTCGTATAGAAGTTAAAAACATGGTATAATTACCCATTATAAGGCTCGTGCTCTATCACAAAAGAATTTGTCTCAAATATATTACACAGTGTAATTTCACTGGTTTATACATTAGTGTTTTGTAGAATTCCAATTTTATGTATGAAGTTTCTATGGACAAGTAATTTAAAATGTCACTCGGCTAGCTGAACCATTAACAGTTAGAAGTATGCAGAGCTAATTAACTTTGTACACTCCTAACTGTGAAGAGTTCATATAAAAGAAATAATCTCTGAATAATTGCCCCACCCTACCACTCCAGCAGAATGGATACTGTCACTCAGGTTTTCCTCCTTTAATGCATGATCTCAAAGTTTTGCAGCCATGAAGTTGATGTGAGGTTTTGCTAGTGGAAAGAGTGGTAGACTGCGTTTGAACACTGTCATATCTTCAATTATGGTTGGCTAAAAGGAAAATAAGGTCAGACAATTTACTGAGTATCTAAAAACAAAAGAACCCACAAATCAAGCTCAAAACAGTATAATATTTTGTGGCCACTTCTCCATCAAGTCAGTGTAAATTAAACTAAATTCTCTTTAGAATTTAGTCTGTTACAGCCAGTGCTCTCCCTACCCCACAACTAATATCCCTGCATCTATCCAGTTCTTCCTTCAAAAGCTTCAAAGATCTCGGCCTCAACTGAGCTTTGGTGCTTCAAGTGATCATTTTACTATTTCTTACATGTTTTGGATAATTCCCACCTCTACCATCCTTTCAAGCAGTGAATTTCAAATATCCACCATTCTCTGGGTGAAAAAAAATTCTCCTTAAAATCCCCCTAAACTTTATTAAATCTACAGGGAAGTGCTAGGAAAGGAGTTAGAGTGTCAGAGTCATACAGCATGGAAACAGACCCTTTGGTCCAACTAGTCCTTGCTGACCATGTTCCCAAACTAAATTGGTCTGATTTGGCCTACGTCCCCTCAAACCTTTCCTATTCATGTACCTATCGAAATGTCTTTCAAATGTTGTAACTATACCGGTATCCACAACTTCCTTTGCCAGTTCATTCCACACACTAACCCCTCTGGGGGAAAAAAAAAAGTTGCCTCTCATGTCCTTTTTAAAAACTTTCTCCTCTCTCCTTAAATATACCCCCTGGTTTTGAACTCTCCTACCCTGGGGAAAAGACCCATGATATTCACCTTATTTATGCCCCTCATAATTTTATAAACCTCTATAAAGTCACCCCTCAATCTCCTACGGTCCAATGAAAAAATTCCCAGTTATTTTTGTAGCTCAAACACTCCATTCCTGGCAACATCCTGGTAAATCTTTTATGAACCCTCTCCAACTTCAATAACAGCGCTCCTATAGCAGGGTGATCAGAACTGCACACAGTATTCCAGAAGAGGCCTCACAAACATCCTGCACAACCTCAATATATTATCCCAACTCATATACTCAAAAGATCTGAGCAATGAGGCAAGCATGCTAAATGCCTTCTTAACCACCCTGTCTATCTGTGACAGAAATTTCAAAGAATTATGTACCTGAACTCGTATGTCTCTTTGTTCCACATCACTACCCAAGGCCCAACCATTAATTGTCTAAGTCCTGCTCGAGTTTGTTTTACCAAAATACAATACCTCGCATTTATCCAAATTAAACTCCATCTACCCACTCCTCAGCCAATTGACCCGACTGATCAAAATGTCTTTGTAATCTTAGATAATCATCTTCTCTATCCACTTTTGGTGGATTTTGGTGTCATCCACAGACTTACTAATGGTGCCTTCTATATTTTCAACCAAATTGCTCATCTAAATGATAAACAAAAGTAGAGCCAGTACTGATCCTTGTGGAACACCACTGGTTACTGGTCTCCAGTCTGGAAAACAACCCTCCATCATTACCCTGTCTCCAATGCCAAGCCAATTTTGTATCCAATTGGCAAGCTCACCCTGAATCCCATGTGATCTAACTTTACTAATTAGTCTACCATGTGGAACCTTGTCAAAGGCTTTAATGAAGTCCACATAAACAAGTCTATTGCTCTGCCCTCATCAATATTTTTGTTGCTTCCTCAAAAAACTCAAATCAAGTTTGAGAGATAATTTCCCTCGCACAAAACCATGCTGACTATCCCTAATCAGTCCTTCAGAGATAGTAGGAACTGCCGATGCTGGAGTCTGAGATAACACGGTGTAGAGCTGGATGAACACAGCAGGCCAGGCAGCATCAGATGAGCAGGAAAGCTGACGTTTCGGGTTTGGATCCTTCTTCAGAAACGGGGGAGGGGAATTTCAGAGTCCTCTTCCCCTCCCCCATTTCTGAAGAAGGGTCCAGACCCGAAACGTCAGCTTTCCTGCTTCTCTCCGATGCTGCCTGGCCTGCTGTGTTCATCCAGTTCCACACCTTGTTATCCTAATCAGTCCTTGCCTTTCCAAATACATGTAAATCCTATCTTTCAGAATCACTTCCAACAACCTACCCACCACCGATGTCAGGTTCGCAGGTCTGTAGTTCCCAGGCTTCTCCTGGCAGCCTTTCTTAAATAAAGCACAACATTAGTCAGCCTCCAGTCGTCCAGCGCCTCCCCTGCGGTTACAGATGATACAAATATCTCTGCTAGGGACCCTGCAATTTCTTCCCTAACTTCCCACAACATCCTGGGATACACTTGTTCAGGTCCCAGAGATTTATCCACCTTTATGTTTTCTAAGGCTTCCAGCACTCCCTCTTCTGCAATGTGAACTGTTTTCAAAACATTAATGTTTATTTCCTTACATTTTCTAGCCTTCATTTCTTTCTCCACAGTAAACACTGATGCAAAATATTCATTTAGTATCCCTCCCATCACCTGAGGGTCAACACATCTTGAAAAATGTCCATATTAGAGGTGGTGGTGCTGGACATCTTAAAACATATAAAGGTGGATAAATCCCCGGGACATGATCAGGTGTACCCTAGAGCTTTGTGGAAAGCTAGGGACATGATTGCTGGGCCGCTTGCTGAGATATTTATATCATCAATAGCTCCCGGCGAGGTGCCAGAAGACTAGAGGTTGGCTAAAGTGTTAAGGAAAAGCCAGAGAACTGTAGACCAGTAACTCTGACTTCGGTGGTGGGAAAGTTATTGGAGGGAATACTGAGGGACAGGATTTACAAGGACTGATTAGTGATAGTCAACATCGCTTTGTGCATGGGAAATCATGTCTCACTAACTTGATTGAGTTTTTTGAAGTATAGAAGAGGATTGATGAGGGCAGAGCAGTGGAAGTGATCATTTTGGACTACAGTAAGGCATTCAACAACGTTCCTCTTGGTAGACTGGTTAGCAAGGTTAGATCAAACGGAACAGAGGGAGAACTTGCTACATGGATACAGAATTGGCTTGAAGGAGAACACAGAGGGTGGTGGTGGAAGGTTGCTTTTCAGACTGGAGGCCTGTGACCAGCAGTGTGCCACAAGCATTGGTGCTGGGTCCACTGCATTTCATCATATTTATATAAATGTTTCGGATGCAAACGTAGGAGGTATGGTTAGTAAGTTTGCGGATGACTCCAAAATTGGAGGTGTAGTAGACAGCGAAGAAGGTTACCTCAGAGTACAACTGGATCAGATGGGCCAATGGGCTGAGGTGTGGTAGGTGGAGTTTAATTTAGATAAATGTGAAGTGCTGCATTTTGGAAAGGCAAAGCAGGGCAGGACTTATACACTTAACGGTAAGGTCCTGGGGAGTGTTGCTGAACAAAGAGACCTTGGAGTGCAGGTACATAGTTCCTTGAAAGTGGAGCCACAGATAGATAAGATAGTGAAGAAGGCATTTAGTATGCTTGCCTTTATTAGTCAGTGCATGGAGTAAAGGAGTTGGGAGGTTATGTTGCGGCTGTACAGGACAATGGTTAGGCCAATATTGCAATTCTGCATGCAATTCTGGTCACCCTGCTCTTGGAAAGACGTTGTGAAACTTGAAAGGGTTCAGAAAAGATTTACAAGGATGTTGCCGGGGTTGGAGGGTTTGAACTACAGGGAGAGGCGGAATAGACTGGGGCTAATTTCCCTGGAGCGTCAAAGGCTGAGGGGTGACCTTATAGAGGTTTATATAATGACAAGGTGCACGGATAGGGTAAATAGGCAAGGTCTTTTCCACGGGATGGGCGAGTCCAAAACTAGAGGGCATAGGTTTAAGGTGAGAAGGGAAAGATTTAAAAGGGACCTAACGGGCAACTTTTTCATGCAGAGTGCTGCATGTATGGAATGTGAAGGCTGGTACAATTACAACATTTAAAAGGCATCTGGATGGGTATATGAATAGTTCGGGTTTGAGTGAGATTTGGGGCAAATGCTGGCAAACGGAACTAGATTTTTTAGGATATCTGCATATGTAGGAATGTAGGGGAATCAAGCATACTAAATGCCTTCTTCACTATCTTATCTATCTGTGGCTCCACTTTCAAGGAACTATGTACCTGCAGTCCAAGGTCTCTTTGTTCAGCAACACTCCCCAGGACCTTACCGTTAAGTGTATAAGTCCTGCTCTGATTTGCCTTTCCAAATGCAGCACTTCACATTTATCTAAATTAAACTCCACCTGCCACACCTCAGCCCATTGGCCCATCTGATCCCGTTGTAATGAGGTAACCTTCTTCGCTGTCCACTACACCTCCAATTTTGGAGTCATCTACAAACTTACTAACCATACCTCCTATGTTTGCATCCAAAACATTAGGATATCTGGTCAGCATGGACATGTTGGACTGAAGGGTCTGCTTCCATTCCGTTTATCTCAATGACTCCATGATAGATGATCTCATTGATCTTTAAGGGGCCTTATTCTCTCTCTAGTTGCTCTTTTGCTCTTATTGTAGTTGTAGAAACTCTTTGGATTATCCTTAAGCTTATCTGCCAAATCTATCTCATATCCTCTCTTTGCCCTCCTGATTTCTGTCTTAAGAATTCCCGTACATTCCTTATACTCTTCAAGAAATTTATTTGATCTCAGTTGATTTGACCCATCCAACAGAAGGAGTAGTGATACAGATGGCAGTTACGATGGTGACTGACTTGGAGGTCAATTTGCAAGAGGTGATGTTCCTATGCACCTGCTGCCTTTTTCCTTGCAAGTGGTAGAGGTTGTATGTTTGAAACATGGTACTGAAGGAGACCTGTCAAGTTGCTGCAGTGCATCATGTAAATATACACTGTTCCTATTCTGGGCTAATGGTGGAGGTGTGAATGTTTAAATGATGAATAAGTGCCAACCAGGTAAGCATGGTGCTCGAGATAAATAATTACTACAGGAGAAGTGAGTGACAGTCCAAAGTGATACTAAAAAACTGTTTTCTGAATGTAAGAGGCTCCAAGAAAAATATTTCCCACCCTGGAACTAAAGAGGGTACTTTTTTTTAGAGCTATGAAGAAATAAGGTCCAAAGTTTTTTTTCTTAGCCTAGATTCAAACAAGAAGCAAGTTAAAACTTAGGAAATTAATGGAAATTTAGACAACAACCTTTCAACTGGAGAATGGTCAAAATAGTGATAGATTGCCAGGAGCAGTAGAACAAAAAATAGATTTTTGTTTTTACAAAGTGCTTAGGCGGATTCAGAACAGAAAGCAAAATTTCAGAATAGAAAGCAAAATTCAGAGCAGGGAGTTCCTAAAGTACGGAATCTGATGACAGGTTTGCCTCTTAGGGTGGTGCAGCCAATAGCTTTCACCTCAAAACACTGTGTTACCATGAAGTTAATCAAGTGGAAACCAGGAAATTCATCCAAAAGGAGGGACCCAAAAGACAACTGATATTGCATTATTTTGAAGAAACCATTGTGCATTTCAGTCCTGATGCAAAAAGCTGGCAGCCAGTGTCTGGACTTATGGCTCAATCGTGAGTTTTACATATTTGTACTGGTGTATCAGTTGCTGTCAAGAATGGTGTCAGAATTCTATGAACAGTGCACAATGAAGGAAAAATAAAGACATCTTTTGCTGACGTTCCTGTTTCGAACTTTAGAAAGTTGAAGGGTGATTCATGTGTCTAAAATAACAAAACAAATTTGATAGGGTATACAGAAAAACTTTTTTTTGCTGGTGGAGAAATACAGAACAAGGAGGCAGGGAAGATTGGTAGTGGACCTCAAGTAAAAGGAATTCATGAAATGGCTACAAGATGGATTTTTCTGAAGCAGCTTGTGGTAGAGACTGGATTCTGGATTTGGTGAAGTGCAATGGGGCAGACTTGACTAGGGAGCTGCAAGTGGAGGAACCCCGAGGAGGCAGTGATCATAATATGAAGAATTCAACCTGCAGTTTGACTTGGAGAAGCTGGAATCAGATGCATCGCCATCACAATTGAATAAAGATAACTCGAGGAGGTGGCAGAGTTGACTGGAAGGGTAGCCTAGCTGGGATGACAGTGGAGCAGCAATGTCAGCGGAGCAGCAATGGCAGGAGTTTCTGGGGGTAATTCAGGAGGCACAGCAGAAATTCATCCCAAGAAAGAAGAAACATACTGGGGGGAGAATGAGGCAACTACGGCTGACAAAAGAAGAGAAAGAATACAATGTGAAGAAGATTAATGAGAAGCTAGATGATTGGGAAGCCTTTAAAAACCAGCAAATAACTAAAAAACAATGAAGGGGGAGAAGATGAAATATGTCGGTAAGCTAGCTAGTATGTAATATAAAAAGAGGCAGAGAGGCAAGAATGGACCACTGGAAAATGAAGCTGGAGAAGTTGTAATGGGGAACAAAGAAATGGCAGAGGAACTGAATCAGTACTTAGCATCAGTTTTCAAAATTGAAGACACCAGCAGCATGCCAGAACTTCAAGAGAGTCAGGGACAGAGGTGTGCACAGTGGCTATTACTAAGGAGAAGGTGCTGGGAAAGCTGAAAGGTCTGAATGTGGATAAGTCACCTGGACCAGATGGACTACACTTCAGAGTTCTGAAGAAGAAAGCTGAGGCATTGGTGGTGATCTTTCAGGAATTTGGTGTCAAGGAGGAGCCCAAGGGCTAGAAAATGACAAATGTAACAAATTGTTATTTAAGGGAGGTAGAAGTCAGGAAACTATAGGCCTGACCTTGGTTGTTGGTAAGATTAGCCCATTATTCTTGGAAATGCAGGGTAAAAAAGGGGTGAGTTAGCACAGCTTTGTTAAAGGGAGGGTCAATGCCTAAAATTCTTTCAGGAGGTAACAAGTTAGTTAAACAAAGGACAGCCAGTGGATATAATCTACTTGGAGTTCCAGAAGGCCTTTGACAAGGTGCCACACAGGAGGCTGCTAAATTAGAAGGAACCAAGGACATTGTTGCCAAGGCTGCATATGACACAAAGAGGGATAGGTAGTGTTGAAATAGTAGGAAGGGTACAGATGGCCTTGGTTGGGCTAAGAGAGTAGGCAAAGAAGTGACAGATTGAATTTATTGTGGGGAAGTGTGAAGTTATGCCACTTTGGTAGGAAGAGGTGGTGTGGACTATCTTCTAACGGGAAAAGGCTTCAGAAATCTGAAGCACAAAGGGACTAGGGAATCCTAGTTCAGGATTCTCATAAGGTTAACATGCAGGTTTAGTTACTAATTAGGAAGGAAAATGCAGTGCCAGATTCATTTCATGAGGCCTAAAATACAAAAGCAGAAAGGTACTGCCGAGGCTTTATTAAGCTCTGGTCAGACCATATTTGGAATACTGAGAGCAGTTTTGGCCCCATATCTAAGGAAAGATGTGCTGGCATTGGAGGGGGTCCAGAGAAGGTTTACAAGAATGATCCTGGGGATAAAGGGCTTGTGATAGGAAGAGCGATTAAGGATTCTGGGTCTGTACTTGATGGGGTTTAGAATGATGAGGGGAAATTTCATTTGAACTTACAGAATACTGACTGGCCTGGATAAAGTGGACAGGAGAAGACGTTTCCATTAACAGGACAGACTAGGACCTGAAGGCACAGCCTCAGAGTTAAGGGACAAATATTCAGAACTAAGATGAGGAGTAATTTCTTCGGCCAGAGAGTGGTTTATCTGTGGAACTCATTGTCAGAGGGCTTTGAAAGCCAAGTCATTGCATGTATTTAAGATAGAGATAGTTGGTTCTTGATGAGTAAGATGATCACAGGTTATGGGGAGAATGCAGGTGAATGAGATTGAGAAATATATCAGCCATGATCGGATGGTGGAGCATAACTAACAGGCAGAATGGCCTAAATCTGCTCTGATATCTTAAGGTTTTAAAATTACAGTTAGAAAGCTCGGGAAACAAGTTTTGTTTTTAAAGATGTTGAAAACTGAAGCCAGCAAAGTGCCCACTCCTCCAAATCATCCAAGAGGCTCGCTACGATGGATCAATTAAAACTTTTACATGTAAGAATTTTATTAGGTGAGACTTAAACTGATATTTATGCAGGAAAATGAAATTGAGTCTTCCTGTTAAATAGTTGACCTCTTTTGATTTTTTCAGCCTTTCTAATCAATATTGTGTTTATGTTAAGAATAAAATTATAACTGGCAGCATTAAAGCTCAAAAATGCTCTAGCTTTGGCACTGAACGTAACTTTAAACAAACATGCAGTGCAATGGGAACATGTAAACAAATAGAAGCTCATTTCAAAAAGTGTTAGGATGTTTTAAAAAAGGAATTATAATCATGTTTGTTCATGAATCAATTTAGGAACTTTCAATATACTTCCTATGGTAGAGAAGAAAATAAGTAAATGGGGTTAATAATTACTCTTACCTGTGGCAAGGGTGGTGCAGGAGGCAGGTTGACATCATTTTGACATGGAGGCTGTTCAATAACAGGGCCTAGAATTACATTAATAGTAAGACATGATGAATTGGCACTTAAAACAACAAATTTGAGAGAAGTACAGTTTTCAGATTAATACACATTAAAAAAATCAATTGCCTTAATGTAATATTAAATGCTGGGTTTCATGCAGACGATTAATAAATATATATGCAGGGTCATCAGTTCTATATTGGATCTTGAACCAAAATCTTAAGTATAAAACAAAAATTAAAACTAAAATCTTAAATAATGTTCTCGTTACAGTCTCTGTGCAGGTTTATGTTGGATCTCCACTCTATAAAACTCAAGTTCTGATGGAAAAGTTAATTCGTCCAATTAAAATCAATTTTAGTTGTAAATTTTGCATTTTCACCATTCTGACAGGATGCTCTAAAATTAAGACCATAGGAGCACATAGGTAGGTATGCAAAATTTAAAACATTTCTCAACTTGTATTCAATCCCTTCATTAAGATATTGGTAGAGATAGAATATATTACTTTCATTGAATTTAGACATGTTACTGGGTAGGCTTGTTGGATGTCTCTGAGGTGACTGTACTCAGCTGCTTTGGAGCCAAGATGCCCCAAAAGATGAGTTCAAGGTGCAGGATTACAGACCTAAAAATTTAACTAAAACTCTCATCATAAGTGTTGCATGATTGGCTGAATATTTTCAGCAAATTCCAGTTTTCGCCAAATTTCAATATTTTCAGAACGGTCAAACACGTTATTGTATCGTCCCTCTGAATAAATACTAGCTGAGTAATTTGAATCTGTACTTAAAGTGAAATATAACCATGTGGACAGAGGTATGTTTCTTGTCAAAGAAAGCAGTGAGCAGAGCTAAAAGGATACCGATGGGAACAATGTACATGCTGTGTTATTGCTCAACTGTGTGCTGGAGCAGGTTTCTTTGCCATATATGTAGAGTTTTAAAGTTTGCTGATACGAAATAAAGGTGGATTATAAATTGAAGTAATATTTAGAAAATAGTGAAGGACAGGCAGGCTAGTCGAGTGAATAGATAGGTGTCAAATGCAATTAAACACATTAAGAAATGTGAATGACAATCTGGAGAGAAGAACAGCAACAGAAAGCATGCTTCATTTGGAAAGATTATTAAAGATAGAGGAACAATAATATCTAGACACAAATGCAGGTAGAAAAACGAATCAAAAAGGTAAACATAATTTAAGTTTTATGCATTTGTGCAGTGAATATAAAAAACAAGACAGCAATTATACAATTTATTAGTTTAGCTGCAAGTTCAGCTCTGCTCATGGCTCTCAAGATTCAATTAAATGGAATGGTATCACATGACAGGCCATTGCTCTAAATGCAATTTGGTGGAAAAGTTTTTTATTTCACTAGCAATGTTAAAAGAGGATCAAAATGGCTAGTAACAATGGGTCAGAGAAGATAAGTGGTGAAAAACTGTTTATACTTGATAGCGAATCAATAACATGGAGACAGGTTCAGGACCATTCCCAGAAGATGGTAAGGGAAAGTTGAAAATAAGCTTTCCCCCCAGCAAGAGAGTTAGGTGATCATGGAATGATCATGAAGTGTATTGAAACAGAGTCCAGAATACCATGTGAATGGGTATTGGTTATTGGTTTAAAAATAAACAAGAAAATATTGTGAAAACAGGGTAATGTAATTAGAATAAAGAGATTCAACTGAACTGCACAGATTAAAATAGTCTGACTGGTCTGTTCTTGTGCAATAATTTCTCTTGCTTCTTCAAAGAGAAATGCACCGGAGGCTTCCCTATCCTTTTAAATGAGAATAGTAAGTGCAGCATGCCATGAGAAAGAACTTGACCATCTAGCATTAGGCTGTGACAACAAAAGGAAGTGGAACATGGTTAGATACAATTATTTTTTTCCCCAAGAAACTCAACATTTTCAGAACTGCTTCAGGAAAATTCCTGTGCAGGAGAAATCAGCTCATTTATTTTGTTAGCACCAGCAATGCAATTAAACAAATGATCTTCCACAAGCTTCAATATACACGATTAGTTAGAAGCTGCAAGTGCAATAATTTTTTGATCAAAACTGCCATGCTTCCCATGACTGGGGAAGGTTCATATTATGAGTGCTACCACACACTCCCCACAGAAACTGCACAGGTTTCAGTTCAAAGGAGATAGGGACCTGCACATGCTCAAGTGTTGGGCGAATTAGAATTGCTATCTATTTTGGAAAGGGACATCTGCAAGCTTGTTTCACTCAGCACCACAATGACAATCTGAACAAGGAAGGACAGTTTTTGCTATTTGTCACCTGAAAGGCAATTTAGAAAAATGCAGATACGAACAGAAACTGACATCATCAGAGATGGCAGAACAAACATAGGAACAGGAGTAGGCCACTCAGTCTGTTGAGATTACCTCACCACTCAGTATGAGCATTGCTAAACGTACACTTCAATGTCTTTTATACATGCCATTCCCATAATCCTGTGTGCCATTGGTAATCAGAAATCCTATTTAGCTTTGTATCAATCACCAAATTTGGAAACGCGACGTTTGGTCCTGACTTCAAACTCATTTATATAGATTGTGAACAGCTTGGGCCCAAGTACTGATCCTTGCAGTACCTCAATAGTCATAGTTTGCCAAAGCAAGAATGACCCACTTATTCCTATGCTGATAAAGAGACAACTGCCAAACAATTTTTAATCCACGCCAGTATATTACTTGCTTAGCTCTTATGCTTTAATTTTTCTAACCAGCCTTGCGTGGGAGACTTTAACAAAGGCCTTCAGAAAATCTAAGTACAGTATACTGTGTCCATCAGATGTCCTTTATCAATTTTGTTACTAACATCTTCAGCAAACTCCAACAAGGTCATCAAGCACAAATACCCAACTTCAAATCTATGTTAACCATGCCCAATCAGTTCATTATTACTAAGTACCTTTTTATTCCATCCTTCATAATAGATTCTAGCATTTTCCCTACGACTGATGCAAGGCTAACAGTTCTGTAGTTCTAGGTTTTCTTTCTCACTCCTTTCTCCAAGTGGGGTGACATTTGCTACCTTACAATCTACTGCACTCATTCCACAATCTACAATTATTTGGAAGACAGTGACCAATTGCATTAACCACTTCTATAGCTACCTTCTTCAACACTCTGGGATGTATGTCAGCATGTCAAGTCCTAGGGATTTACCAACTGTCAGCGCCATTAACTTCTATGGAATAATCTTCCTAATACAAACTTCCTTCAACTCATTTTCCCAGCCACTTGGAGCTTTAGTTCTAAGAAATTTCTTCACATCTTTTTCTGAAAACAGACAAAGTAATCACTTAGCTTCTCTGCTATTCCTCTATTCCCCATCACAAATTCTCCTGACTCTGCCTAAAATGGATCTCCATGCGTTTTAGCCAAATGTTTCCTTTTTACATACCTATAGAAGCTTTTACTATCTGTTTTTGGGTTTTTTTGCTCGACTGTATTATTATTCTATTCTCCCTTTTCTAATCAGTTTCTTGTCCTTTTGTACTGTATTCTACAAGTCTTCCAATCCTCAGATTTACTGCTATTTCTCGCAACTTTTTTTTTAAGCTTATACAATCTTGAACTTCTTTATGAGCCATTGTTGACTGACCTTTGATTTTTTGCACCTTTAAGGAATGTATAGTTGCTGCAAGTTAGTAACAGAATTTTTAAAGGCTATTGCCAATGTACAGTTATGTCTTTTAATGCATTTTGTCAACTCACTTCAACCAATTTGTGCTCATGCCTTCATAATTTCCCCTATTAAAATTTAAAACCCTTGATTCAGACTGAACTGCCTCATTGTCAAACTTAATGCAAATTTTTATCACATTGTGGTTACCCATTGCTAAAGGTTCCTTTACAAAGTTGTTAATTAGCCCTTTTCTATCACATAGTACTAAATCTAAAATAGCACGCCCTCTAGTTAGCTCAACATACTGCTCTAAAAAACAGCTCAATGCACTGCAGAAACCTGTCCGTCAGTTTAGCACTCACTGGTTTACCTAGCTTATTGTAGTCTGAAATCACCCATGATAACTGTTTTGCCCATGCTTCTCTCAAATCTACTGATGAAGCCAATGCCTTACACTACTATTTGGTGACATATAAATAACTCCAACTGATATTTGTTGACCCGTTCCTTTTCTTAGCTCCACCTAAACAGATCTCACACCCTGTTCTTCCAATCTGAGATTTTCCCTGCCTAATGTACTGATCCCATCTCTTATTATCAGCCCAACTCCACATCCTTTTCCTTCTTGAGTGCACATCCTAAATGAACATCCAAATTGAAAAATTGACTGATCCACAACGTTTCTCCCTAGAGTTTACATCAAGAATTTCAGAACAGATAGTGCACCATGTAAAGCAGTGGACAGAAAATGACACACGTCATCTTCTGATCAGTTTTGTTTCACACAGAGGACTGTAATGCCAGTGGGATGAGTCTCTAGTTGTAATAACTTAGTGCAAGTGTTTTCTTTAAAAAAAAAGCAGATAGCTGAGCACTGCCAGATCTAAAAGTCTATGCAATGAATGTGAACCTTCTCCCCCCATGGATGTGTTATAAAGAAGGTTAAGTACAGCCAACCAGCTAAGAGTACATTGCCCATTAAAAATAAGTTATACCCTACTACTCATGTTTCTTTTTTTTATATGAAGTGCTGATATAATGAGCTTGTACGGGGGACATTAAAAAATGTTCAACACCAGATGGTACATTTGTCGAACTGAAAAATAAAAGAAAAATCTCAAACACAGGAGGCCAAAATGGAGGGGAAAAGTATGAAAACCTAAGCATTTGTTACAGATTATACAGCTGAATTTCCTGTCCCATAACAACTTGCTGCTCCTGTTTGACAATCTCTATTACCAATACCTAGTTAAATTATAACATAACCTACAAAGTGTAATAATCAAAATTAATTGTCAAAAGGACTTAGTGAAATCCCTACCTTTTTCACTATTTAACTAAACTACAGATTGTCCTTCTCTTTCTTAATGGCCAAACTCTGAGCCCCTACCTCAGTTGTCTCTGCTCTCACTGGCCTGTTGAGCCAATAAATCACTTGCCTCATTAAATGAGACAACCTGTCACTCACATCTTGTTTTGGAGTTCTGAAATTAATGTAGCATGAACTAAGTCCTCTACAACATATTCTGAATACAAACTATTCTAACAATCAAAGTATTAAAACCTCTGCAGTATGTTGGACTCATCCCCTTATCTCAATCTAGTTGTACAGAAACTGTTTTCAAATACACCAAATGGAATGGCCTATTTTGTTTGTATTGATGTTTGACTCCATGCTGAAAACAAGAAATTAAACTCAACTCATCTCTATCTCCTCGCAATAGTTTTCCACATTATTACCCTTTTCAAGTTTATTTTTCTTTTCATAAAGCTTCTCATCCTATTGCTATCACCATTTGACAGTTGAAATAAAGCAGTCATGAGGTGACATCGGACAACATGGAGCTGGTGGAGTATTTTCTTCAACTAACCTATTTAGCATTGAACACTTTGAAAATTCAATACAAGCATTCTAGCACTTCTAATGAAGGTGTGGCATGACATCCCCACCTTCTGCTCCTACCTCAATCTCAAAGCAGTATTCAGGGAGACTAAAATATTTTATTTCCTGCATCAGTTAATCTTTTGGCTACTGGAGTCTAGCAATTTAATGTTCACATGTGGAAAATTCTTATGGTGCAAAAGTAAGCCCAATCAGAGTGAGGTTAACAATTTGAAAATTGCATTCAGACATAAGGCATTCTTACTTAAAAAAAACTCCTTCCATAGCTTATATTTATAGATCCTGACCTTTCAAAGATATTGCACAAACCTGAAGAAGGTGGCCAATACACTGATGGATAATAACCCATGAGATTAATTGAGATTAAATTTCCAATCATGACTTCTTAAAAACTTCCTATTAGAAGTATTCAGTGAGGACAAACAAGTTAAACATTTGTTCGGTATAACAGTAACGCAAGTAAACACTTTGTTGAAGGCCACTCTTATATGATAAACAAATCTGAATGTTGCCTCTGATATGCAGGATATTCTTAAAATCGGATATTTTGAACTCAAAATTAATGAATGAGCTAGTCAGTGTAAGTGTTTACAGATACTCACAGGAATCCATATCCCGGGACAAGACATGTACAGAAACTTTGCGTCGTCTTGAGCCATCAACAGCCAAAAGCTCCTGCAGATTAAAAAAAAGGCTATTAATTCACTAGTTACAGGAAGATAAGTAGGAATCTTAGCTTTGTGTAAAGTATGTTGTACTTTGTAAAAGAGCCTCTGGGCTGAACACCAAGATAAATCTTCTGAACAGGTTTTAAACTGATTTAGATGAACTCTGCCAAAGAAATACAAGCCTTTACAACATGATTTGTGTTTGAACATTGGGCACTTAGAAACATCCTCCTTGTTCTTAAAAACAATTATTTTGTCAATGTTGATGCAAGCCCACCATTAGGTATTAGGATTGCAACTTCTTCATTATTAACATACTTTTTATTATTCATTCATCATTATGTCAAAGGCAGGATATATTGCCCATCAGTAACTACCCTCACGATGTAAGGGTGAGTCACCTTATTGGAAAGCTGCAGGCTAAGTGATGGTGTCCTGTAAGAAGCTCCATAACTGTTTTTTGTCCAGCAATGGGAAGGTAGTAGTAATGTTATTGGATTGGTAATTCAGAGTCCCAGTCTAATTTTCTGGGGACAAAAATTCAAATCCCAAAATGGCAGATGGTGAAGCGCGAATTCAATCGAATTCAGGAATTAAAAGCTAGTCTAATGGCCACCATGGAACCACTGTGGTATTGTAAATGCCCAACTGGTTCACTAATGTCATTTGGGAAAGGAAATCCGTTTCTTAGTTAGGTCTCTGCTAAGAGTCTGGAGTAACAATGTGGTAGACTCTAATCTACCCTCTGTAAGGGGTCTAGTAAGCCACTATGTTCAAAAGCAATTAGAAATAGACATTAAATTCTGGTCCAGACAGTGACACCCAAATCTCAACTGCATTTTAAAAGAAAATATGAAAGAACTGCAATTTATTTTAGATATATTTTTGGCATGAGACTTGGAGGTAATTTTGTTTCAGTTCAATTGCAAGGCTAATGTTGAATATGCACATAAACCTGTGTAGGGTACCATATAGTTACTAGGTTAGTAATTCACAGGCTTAGATTAATAATTGGACCTCCAAGCTCAATTACACAAGCGTGGTTGGACATTTAAATTAAATATGAAATAAACTAATGTTGAATTTAAAAGTCCTCAGTCAGTGACCATGATACTTATCAATTTATTACACATGACTGCTTTCTTTTCTCTATCCCATGTCACAGTTCCAATAAAAGTAGGGTAGTATACTCCATTCAAATGGATTTAAGCACATTTCCCAAACAGCCCAAATAACTGTTTGAATTCTGTTTCATTGTTAGCCACAGATTGATGCAGCATCTCCTCCTGCCTGCAGATGGACATAGGAAGTAAAATAACACACACACTCTGGGCAGTGGAAGTCACAATTCTGTAATTAAGGCAAATTGTATAGATCATGATAATCAATGGGGCCTGTACCTTATGACTGGAAGAGTTAAACATAATCCAAGGCAGCGAGTGAAGTGGCTTTTCTATCCTGTGAAAGCTATACAATCTTTAAACAAAGAACTTTGGCTCTGAAGCCAGAATTCAGGAAATTGAGCACTATACGGTAAAAGTGGTTAAACAGCTAGAATTTAGCTAGACTTTTAGAAATTCTTGTTCCGTCAGCGGCTTCTGAATTTAGCTGCATAATAACTCCTTATCTATGTATTTAACAACTGTCCACAGCATTAAAAGAGTCCTCATACAGTTAAAGAACAGTTCTTTGTCATTGTTTTCAGTTTATTTCACTCATACCGGTGGCGAGAATTGATGTCCTTTAGTAACAATTAGATGTTCTGCCACCTTCTAGAGGAAGTTTCTGTTGGTCTTGGAGTCGTTAACACGTACAAAGGGCTAAGTGACTGCTTCCTCGCTCTCACATAGGACACTGGGGCAAAACATTTCTTGGGGTCATACTAATATAACTCTCATTAACCTAATCTAACACAATTTTCAAGATTCACTCCAGGAAAAGAATGTTAATGTTATGCTGTTGTCATTTAAGCAACTTAGTTTACAAGGGTACTCTCCTTTGGAGAGACAGAGCTTCTCCATATTGGGAAAGCTACATATTTTCTTTGTGTTTTCTGCATTATGCGGGATGAACAGAGACTACAATTAGAGAAAAGTCTTTTCGGTTTTGATCTGGGTTAAATGGTGTAAGCTTGAGGAATCTATTTTTCGGCCATGTCAAAGACTACTCCCATGTTGTTAGTAAGCCAGCTAGGAGTCTCAAGTGGACAGATAATTTGACCAGAATCGGTGACATAGTACTAAACAAATCCGAACATTAGGTACTTATGAAAATCTTCCAGCAATAATTCAGTGTATAGGACATTAAATTCACCCTCTTTACATTTAGTCCAGGAAGGGCACCCTGTTACATTTGGTTCACCATCTCATTTAAAATAAATTGCATCTCCCTTGGTGCAACTGGAACCAGAGATGACTCTTGAAGGAAGAAGTTACAATCTTTGTAATCGCCATAGTCAAGACAGGTTTCTATTGGAAAAAAATTGCTTGAGCTCTTAATATCAGACTTCTGAAGGGCAAATGATAGAAGACAATATAAATAATGCCACATATACTGGATACTGGGGAAGTCTAGCATATTTAATATAAAAATTGAAACAGGAATAGAGCTTTGACAGTAGGAGGAAAGTTTAATAAAGCTGAAATTGTAAACATAAGCCATGACTAGGGCAAGAATGAACAAAAAATAAGATTTCACCAGAACAGGATTAATATTTTAAAATCTAATGATTGTGGAAAGGTAAATTAAAATCATATGGGAGGAATGCACCTTCAAAAATAAAACGGCATAAAGGACTTTTCTCTGTGCAAACAAACAAATCAAGGTTATTGCTGAAGAAAGTAGCAAAATAATAGGATTGAAGGCCAGAAGGGAAGTCTTTCTCATTCCTTTTTAAAGGGGTGGTGGCAGAAAAATCTGAGAAAAGTGGGCAAATAAAGCACCTTCCAAGATGCCTACAAATATGACTGTGTCATGTTAAGAAACTGGCCTTTTACGTTTCATTGCTGTATCATAATTCATATCTGTGTGAGATTGTTGAATAAATGAAGACGGTACTTTGTCCTGATGGAGTCTTCAAACTTTGCAATTGTGGAACTACTAATTCCAGTTCAACTAATATCAATGACTGGCTTGTGAAAAACACAAGAACAAGTTTATTTGCATTTCTGACTACTGATCTACGATGGCAGACGTATGCCAGCAGCCAATCATAAAAGGAAGAAACTAATCTTGTGTACCATACAGTACAAGTTAAGCAAGTTCTTAATATGCAGAGCACATACAAAAAAGTTAATACAAGGCTTAGAGAAGAAAATAAAGTGACCAACATAAATTGAGTACAGGCAGTGTTAAATTCTGTAGTACGATCAGAGGTACTAGATGAAACATGCACTTTAGTCCAGAAATATTTTGCTATCGCTCATATTTAATAACTGAACCTACTGATATATCTCTGGATATTCATTGCATATTGGAAAAATTACAAATGGAACATAATAAATTGCTTTTCATCTCTGTCAGAAATCCGTAGCTCAATTACTGATGGATTGTTACAAACATGCATTTTTTTTGGGTAAATGGCATGCATACTCTCAATCTTGCAAAAACATCATGAGAACTGTAGGTCATTTGACAAAGTCAAGCTTCAAAATAACAACCAGTGTGGACATAAAAAACGTCAGAATCTGAAATGCAGCATTACATGTGGGAATGTAAGCAGATATTTGCTGCAGTGATGAGACCTGGCAACAATTCAAAATGGGTGTATTAAACTGTTGGACTAAGTCAGTGACGTGCTGTGAATCTCAGAACAGCAAATCAATTGTTAGGTGAGCTTGTGAAAATGCAGCTGGATAGTCATTCTTTACACAATACAATGTTAATAACAAACAGAAAGTTTTGTTTTGTGAGGCGAGGTGGGGTGTAGAGAGAACACTGAATGAGGCATTGCATATATCGTGAAAGCATGGTGTATGGATTCAAAAGATATTGACAGCACTTGTAGATTAACAGTTATACTACCCAGATTGGTGCATTTTAATGCTGAAATACTATGAAAGTTAATCTTGTAAAAGACGACTGACCAAAACAACTTGACACTATTCTTGGAGAACATACAAGTAAGGAGTTACATTCAAACACAATCATTTAATTTCTCACTCAAGCTCATGGGGTCCAAGACATGAATCTGTAAATTTAAATTGGATTGTGCGTCAAAGATTGCTGTTGTTGCTAGGTAACGGGTTGACTCATATTTTATATTTTCATCTTTCATTAATGTGCAATCTGTCACACTGGCATCTGAACACATATTAAATTATTCCCTGATAGGAATAAAGAAAAAAAATTGTATCATTTGGACAAAATATTGCAGGGCAATACAAACATTCAAAAAATTATACTAACACCAGACGACAACCACGTCTAGATTTGAATCCAAATTTGCTGCAAAGGTTATATGCTGAATTAATGATAGTCAAGGTCTTTTTACATAAGGAACCACTAAATAACAGCTGTTGTAGCTAATTTAGTCATAGTTCAAAATGACAGATGTCACGCTCATTTAATTGTAAGCATGCAATGTGATACACCTTTTGCGCTACGCAGATCTTCGAATCCATCTGAGTGAGATCCTCCTCAAAAGATGCTCATGTATTTCAGAGAATTGCAACCTGTAACTTGTAAATGACATATTCTAGCTGTACATAACTACTGAGGTTTTTCTATCGGATGATCTTGACAAGATAGAAAGAAAGAACGTTACCCAGGTCACTGATTTGTTGGAAGTCAAATAGTGTTTGTCCTCTCTCCTCAATCCCAAAAATACACACACACACACAAAATGTTAGTGATGCTTTTAGGTATCATGACATTAAAAGTTATGATTATCATGTATATTTATGTTTTTTTCACATTAAAAGCCATGGACATACAAAGGTACCTTTCAGATTGCAGATTAGCAGGAGAAGTTTAAATGTTGGGCACATGGGGAAGGGTGGGGGAGAC